GACCTTGAAGTAGCAAGGGATTTTACTGGCCAAATAGGACAATAAGTATCAGTTGAGTTGTCATTATGATGCTTAAATAGAGCCCAACAAAGGGATAATACCTGCACACTGCATCCTTTGTTATAAAGTTGCAATCATTGAGGTTTTACTTCTTTTGAAGTTAATAGCCAGATTCTTCTGATAAAAATAGTAATTTTACTAAACTATTATGCTATCAGTTAGTGTTCATTGATTCTATATTTGGTGGACTTATGTTCGTGCTCTTTGTCAATGTAGAGACCTCAGTTTCAATCACTTGAGTGGTGAAATTCCAACATCTTTTGTCCAACTAGCTAAAGTAGATTTCATGTAAGGGGATCTCTTGTATAAATTCTTCTTTTTCCTGACATATGCTCATTGATGGAGACATGAGAATGTTGTTTGTAGGTATTTGATCTTTTCTTATGTATGCTCATTAAACGACACTACAAGGATGTTTTTTGTAGGTATTTGACGGGGAACCAACTTGCTGGACAAATACCTGGATGGATCCTTTCAAGAAACAAGAATGTGTATGCACACTTTTCACATTAATCAATTTATCATCCAACTTTGACAATTTGTGACATCAAGTTCCATGAAAGAATAATGCAGGTTATTGTTTAACTTGTTTAAAGTTCTTAGTTAAGACAAATTTTAATGTTTTCCCTCTATTTTAATATACAGGGGTATTTCTTATAACAATTTCACTTGGGAAAGCTCAAGTTCAGTTGAATGTCCTCGAGGGAGTGTGTAAGTGTAATTTTATTTGTTCCTTCTGTTTTTATCTCGCAGAACTACATAGAATTGCAATAGTAAATCTCTTCACTGACTTTTCAGAAATTTGGTTGAGACCTACTCTGCCGCCTCCACCAACAAATTGTAAGATTCTTGTGCCTGTATTTTGTATTAATGTATTTTGAGAAGATTGCCATGTTTCTTTTCCTCTTTGGTGGGTGTTGCTTTTTGTTTATGAATAATAGCTCCAAACATTGCCTTTTCATTTCTGAACTATAAGCAGGCTACTACTAATGCTTGCATTCCTTTCCTTATATACTGCAGAAGTAGAGTTCATCCATGCCTCAAGAAAAACTACCCATGTTCTGCTATGGGTAATCAATGTAAGTAAATTAACGATTCAATATGAGTTTCAATCAAACGATTGAATCCATTGTCAAATCTTAAATTGAAGAAATTGTATTTCACTATGATTCAGTTCAGTTCACTATGATTTTCTATAATTTAGTTCTGTTTGCATAATGTATGAAATGATGTCATTTTTGCAACATGAGAGAGAGAGAGAAGGAGAGGTGCTTCAATGTTTTACTCAGATTTGTCAACTCTCAACAGATTATTCCTTGCACATTAACTGTGGTGGCAAGGAGGCAATCTTCAATAACAGCAAGTATGAAGCTGATTTAGAAGTGAGAGGTGCTTCAATGTTTTACTCAGATTTGTCAACTCTCAACAGATTATTCCTTGCACATTAACTGTGGTGGCAAGGAGGCAATCTTCAATAACAGCAAGTATGAAGCTGATTTAGAAGTGAGAGGTGCTTCAATGTTTTACTCAGGACAGAACTGGGCATTTAGCATCACTGGGAACTTCATGGATAATGATCTTGAGGCTGATGTTTACATTGACGCTAACACTTCTACTCTGCATAATGTCTCTGCTAGTGATTCAGAACTGTATACAACAGCACGTGTATCGCCCCTCTCTCACATTCATCTCATTTTTGTTTTGATGTGCAGGACACTCAAAACCTTGTCGTGGAAAGACGGGAAGAACAACCAGTGAATTCTGTCTCCATGAACGCTTTTGAATGCTTATATCTAAATCCTAGGGTCTCAACCTCAGTTCTCTATTTGAAAAGCAAATGTTATGTCAAAGGCATATAGTTTTTTGATTGTTATGTTTTGGTAGCCGAGCTATCAGATGTAGAGATTTTTAGAATCTGAGCATTCCATTCATTTTTGTCAGTGAAGTTAGAGTTCCTATCTCATATCATGAATGAACCAGCTGATATTTAGTTATTGCTCACCTAAATATGCTAATTCAAGTAACTCAATATTTTGGTTTTTATTTTTTGTGCTTTTGTTTTTCTTCTCTTTTTAGTTTCTAATGATAGCAATTGATTTTTGTTTGGCAGGTGAAACGATGACAATCCTTCTCAGCGATAAATGTACTAAGTTATTGTATGAACAGTACAATGTCATTGACACTGAGTTGCTATGGCATCTAATTGTTAACAGGGAAGTTACTTTCAAAAGGATTAAGATCAAGTAGAAATGATTAATGTTCCTATTTTGGTTTGTTGAATTAAGTTTTTAGTTTATTCATATGCATCAACGATTTCTGGATTAATTTGTGTTTTCATTTTTCAGGTCAGAAATTTTTTGGAGAGATGCAAAATATGGTCCAAGAATTAAAGAACTTAGTTTTTTAAGTTTTTTCATTGTTTAATATATGTAAGCACAGTAATTTTTTTTTACTTAATTCCTTTGTATATAGTTTTGAATATTTAATTTCCATTTATGAAATATATTACGTTATTCTATTTAATATGTGGTTATGACTCAAAATATAGTATAGAGTGTGTATTACATTCTTCAAATGTGCATACAAAAATAATATTGATTATTTTTTAAATATGTCGAATCCTTTTTTTTTATTACAGATTTTATTAGTTATTAATCACACTTAAAAGATGTGATCTAAATGTTATTAATCACACTTAAAAGATGTGATGTAAATATTTTTAATCACACTTAAAAGATGTAATCTAAATGTTATTAATCACACTTAAAAGGTGTGGTCTAAATGTTATTAATCACACTTAAAAAGTGTGATTAAAAATGACATTTTTTAATCACACTTCCAAAGATCACACTTAAAAGGTGTGATCTAAATATTTTTAATCACACTTAAAATGTGTGATCTAAGTATTTTTAATCACACTTAAAAGATGTGATCAAAATATTTTTAATCACACTTAAAAGGTGTGATCTTAATGTTATTAAGCACACTTAAAAAGTGTGATTAAAAATGATCCCTTTTAATCACACTCCCAAAGATCACACTTTAATAAAACTTAAAAAGTGTGATTAAATAACATACATCACACAAAAAAAGTGTGATCTTTATCTGTTTTTGTAGTAGTGAATGATCTATTATTTAGTATTTTTTATAATTTTAATATGAGTCATTTTTTGATAAATTCCCTTTTTAAGTTTTTATTCCATCTAACCCATCTTTTTTATGAGTATTCCATTAGGTCTTGACCAAACAATCCTTCCAACTTTCTGCACATGTTTCTATTTTGAAACCAATACACAATAAAAAAATAACAAGACCCTCATTGTATGGAGAAAATTTGTCCCTCATTTTAGGAAAAGACTCTCTTCCTTATTCTATGGAGAAAATATATTCCTCATCAATAAAGAGAAAATCTTTCCCTCATTCCATGGAGGAAATCTTTTCTTTATTCCTCAAAAAAAATCTCTCACATTTTCAAAATCTTAAATTATTTACTTTCTGAAAATCCCTCACTAAATGTTGATGTAAACTTTCACATTACACATGGATGCTGGTAAATAACATCCCTGATGGAACTATACACACATTCAATGTTACAGAAGTGTGAACATTAACATTGGGTGCGACTACCTATTTGTATTACAAAATTAATGTGAACATTCACATCTCTATATACATACTATATTTGTGACCAAAATAACTTGTTTATGATAGTATGACTATATTTTAATGTGAATATTAACATTGATTAATGATATGCTGATCACAACACCAATTGCAACACATTATAATGTAATAATCCAAAAGTAATGACTCCATACGATGTCAACATTTACACCATATAATAATCATGTAAAAATTATGTAAACTTGTACAATAATCAGTGATATGTGAACATTCACATTATATAATAATCATATAATCATCCGTCTAAAATATTTAGAACAATATACAAAGGCAATTGTGAGTTATCACAGAGAAAGCTAGAGAGATAATAGAATAAAGCTAGCAAATAGTAGAGTACCTCTGCATTTTTTATGGCCCAATAATCAAAATAAGGTGTTGTTCCATGAGCAATGTTTGCTTCCTTAGATAGGGAGAGAGAGAGAGAGAGAGAAATAGGGTCAGAGAGAGAAAAAGAGAGAGAAAGTGTGTGTGTGGAGTCGTCATAGGAATAATGATTGTCGGTGGATCATCAAGCCGGTTCTCGAGCGATCTAGAAGGAGAGAGAGAACAACAAGAGGAGAGAGAGGAGAAAAAGAGCTAATGCTGCCAATATATTTATAGGTCTCAGAGCTCAGGGGAAACTACAAGCTTCCCAAACACTGCGACAACAACGAGGTCTTGAAGGCTCTATTCCGAAGCATGTTGGGTCGTCGAAGATGATGGCACCACTTTTTATGATTTTTCTGAGTATTCATCTTGGAATTTTGAAGTTTTGTTGAATTAAGTTGATTTTTGATGGGAAAACCTCAATCAATGATCACAAAAACTGCCCAAAAAAAGAAAAAAGAAAAAAAAAATGAAGCGAAGATTACAACCGTGTGTAATACATATTATCAAAAATACAACAAAGAGTATAATAGTTCAAAAAATATTATAAATAAGGAAAAAAAAGATTTCTTAAAACACAAGTGTAAGGCCAAGTTTGGGAACACCCCAAAAAGTCAAAAAGTCAAAAAGTTACTTAAAAAGTTAAAAAGTTATCATTATTCACCAAAAGTCAACAATTACGGCTGCACAACTCCCAATTCTAATTTTCTCCTACAAATCAATTTTTACAATTTTTTATTACACATTTTTCCATAAAAAGTCAAAAAGTTAACCCAAACATTCATATTTTCAACCTCAACTTTTTAGTCTAAAAAGACAAAAAGTGCACCTATTTAGTCTTCCCAAACTTGGCCTAAATATATAGACAAGATGAAACATAAGAAAATTTTATGGACTTATTGGATTATAACTCCTCTAAATAAGATTTATAATAAATTTCTCTTTTAATAGTTATATTTTTTACACTTATAAATTGTAATATATTTATCATATAATTATGACATCATGATTCAATTTCGATTCACTCGTAGTTAAATCAGTAGCCCATTTGGGAAGACTAAATAAGTGTACTTTTTGACTTTTTTTATATTATGTGTAGAAAAAGTAGAGAGGAGATGTTGATTGATGTGACTCAAAAAAGATAAAATAAGTGCACTTTTTCAGGTTAGCCAAACTTGGCCTCAATCTATGTTCCGACTCCTACCCCGTCTGATTACTTTTCTAGTTAAGGCCCCGTCCATTTTCAAAGCATTGCAACAAACGACTTCGTACTAGGGTTTATTGAATTGGGGTGCTCTGACTTGAAAGATTGTCCTCGAATTATTTGGTTGAACTGAATTTGTATCTTATATTTGTTTAGTCATGGGATTAGATGTCTAGATTAGACTATTTTTAGAGAGACTGGATAAAGATAAATGTTTGATTAGAGAGACTGGATAACGATAAACATTAGTGAATCTAATGTTTGATTAGAGAGACTGGATAGGATAAATGAGCAAAAGACTATTTTACCCTTTTTTAATTATTTACTAAGTAATAGCAATATTAAACATATCTTTAATATTTTAATTATTTTTAGCTAGATTAAATAAAAATTTATTTTATTTTATTTTTTACATAAATAAATAAATTTATTTTTTAAAAATTAAATAAATTAAATATCAATAAAAATATATGTTATTTTTTAATTAAAATTTTAAATAAATTTATTTTAAAAAATTAAAATAATTAAATAATGAAATTAAATAAAATATAAACAAAATTTTAAAATAAAACATCAATAA